TCTTTTTTTTGTTTTTTATTTTCCCAACTGAGTTTTATAGATCAGATTCTCCTCACTTTTTTCACTGGAGGCTTTTCTCTGGAGCGAAAAACAAAGAGGCATTTCTTTGGTCTGCATGGATGCTAGAAACAACTTTTTCATTGGTAGATGTTCGTGTGAAGAACAAGCATTGGGCTTAAAGTGAAGGAAATGTGACCTGTGAAATGCAATCATTCTATAACCTCCATTATCCTTTTAGCAGACTCTACAGCCATCAAACACTCCTGATCCTCATCATGCATAGCAGGCAGCTCTGTGGGTTTAGTGTTTGCACAACAGCTCTGCTGGATCTCTAAGCCCTTTCAGATCTAAGGTTATTTCATCTGTTGCTTAATATCTAAATATCATGTGGCCAAGCAGCTAAAAATGAAAGTCTTATGAGTCCCATGGTGGCTCCTGCAGGCAGTAAAGAAATATCCATAACGTTAATTTGTTCTGCCTTATAAGACAAATGTACTGATAGGAATCAGGTTCAAGGTCTATAGTTTTGAAGCTTATCTAACACCTGATTTTGGCCGTTTAGTTTTATGGAGGAGAGAGCAAAGTCCAAAGATCATTGATGGATCTTGCAGTGTCACCAACCACCTCAGACCTGACCCTTCACACACACATTTAATTACAGTAAGGTTATTCCTTATGCCTTCACCAGACCAAATTAAATCAAACTAGATGATAATGTTATTAAACCTCACAGATATTAGTGATTTATGTGTTTGGATTTCTCAGTGATCATGATCATAATCTCCTAGTTGAAAAGTCAGGAAAGTAGAAAGTCTAAAATGTACACTTAATTTTACAGAACAATCACAGCACTGTTGGGATGCATGGCTGTATATGAATGATTCTGGCTAAAAACTGTTCTTTCCTCAAAATGGAGAGACGATTTCCTGTTTGACCAACATACACAGAGAAATGTTTTACAAAGCCAAGAATCTACAAACCACAGAAGCAGCATGATATTTAAAGGTAGTCTTGCAGTTCTTTAAGTTCTGTCCAATGACACGACTGAAAGACCAAAATGACATAATTTTGTTCTGGTCTTGCTCTTCTGTAAGAGCAAGAAAAACTTCTCACTTCTCCTGAAGTATTTAAAAAGCTTTAGGGAGGTTTCAGTGGAGGTAATGAGAGTTCTTCCATGTTGAAACATCAGAAAAACCCATCTGGGATTCATGCTGAGACCACGTGATCTACAGGCAGGAATGATAGATAGAGCTCGGTATCACCAGCATAGAATAAGAGGCGTCATGATGGGATGATCCAAGCCAGTCAGCTTATTTATACGGCAATAACTCACTTAATTATGTGATCAAACTTTATGTCAACATCCCCATCCCTGAAAATGACTGCTTAAGTAATGACTAGCTTTATAGTAGCATTATTAATAGGACGGGACATCCAATCCATTGGTGCATCCAAGCGGCGACCCATGGGTTAGCCTTCAGCCATCTTGTAGCTTTCTCTGTGGCTTCAGCTGTTGGTTTTCTGGGCCTCCTTTGAGCTGTGCCTGCAACACCCAGTCGGCTGCAAACTCCACGAAGGGACCAACTGGCAAATCCTCTGCAGTCAACTATTATTGGTTCCAGTCTTAAGCCCTAAAAAGGATTCAGTAATGCCAGGTACTTGCTTCCCTTCGTCTTATTGGCGCAGTTCCAATCAACACTTCCTAGGACACTGTTAACTCCAGCGAGATCAGGTGTTTTGTGGCCTTAGAGTTTATGATCATGTCTGGGAACTGTAGCTGCTCTCCGAGATCATCTTGGAGTTACCAGTTGGAAGCTGTAAGCGGTAGAGCCGTGGTTCTTCCTTCCTTCACCTTTAGCTATGTTCACACTGCAGGCCTTGATGCTTAATTCCGATTTTTTGGGAAAATCCGATTTTCTTGCTTTCCAAATATATGCTACTTGTATGTGAACTCCTGTGGGAACTGCAGTCATACAACGCAAATGTCCTGCATGCACAGTAGAGGACGCAATGATGTCACAGGCCAGTCTGCTCCATGTTTACGGAAGTAAACATAGATGGTAGTGTTGTCGTGCATCTAGTGATCTTTTCCAACCATAAAAACCACAATCTTTTCAATATGGTTAAACATAAATACTGCTCGCTGCATCATCATCATCTATGGTTGTTGTTTTTCTTGCTGCTTCTGCATAGCAAGATGCAGAATAATAAACAATGTTGGGTTTTAATGGCGTTGAGGTCGGGTGAATGCGACCTGGCCGTTCAGACACAGATCGCATTTGAAAAGATCCGATTCGTATCGGATTCCGGACCACATAGCCAAGTAGCCTGGGTCGCATTGGAAAAAATCGGATGTGCGTTGTTCAGGCTGTTATAAAAATATCAGATCCAGGTCGCATATGAGCAAAAAAATTTGGATTTGAGTCACTCCAGGCTGCAGTGTGAATGTAGCCTATGATGACATTTGCTATTCCTTCTGGCTAATTGAACTTTATTAATCACTCATTGGAGAACTTTACCTCTCCATTTAACCCATCCCCTTAGGGAGCAGTGGTCTGCCATTGTGCGGCACCCGGGGAGCAGTGTGGGGTTAAGGGTCTTGCTCAGAGACCCAGAGTGGCAGTCTATGGGAGAGAAGCTTGAACTCAGAACCTCAGGATTCCAAGCTGTACACCCTAACCACTGAAGCTACACTAAGGAACTTCTGCAAACACATTTGGTCTGCTGCTGAGAAGATGTTCCCAGGAGCCTCTTCTGAGAGCAAACGATGCAAACAGATGTTACATGTTTCCCACACATGGGGGTTTGGCAGGACGGCCTGCTCATGGAACTGAACCTGATTAAAGTCTACCTACCAGACTTCTGAACAAGTAACGGTACTATGCAACAAAGCCTCCTACCTCGTCCTGCCACCTAATGTTCAAGTTTTACAGCTTTGCCGAACCACTCTTCTATGCCAGCTTGAACTAACCCCTTGAAGAGCTAGTGTCTCTCTGGTCTTCAGGAAGTAACCAACCACTCATCCCTCCTTAAAATATGACACTTCAATTTGTGACGTACAAATAGTTCAGTCTAGCTTTTCCCAAGGAGAACTCTGAGAACATACAGAGGACTGATGATCCAAACCCCTTTTAAAGATTATAAGGATATGGATTGGTAATGAGGAAAAAAAATATATAAATAATTAAGCCTGGTTTTCAGTAAGAAAATGGTTGTAGTGAACATGAGGTGTAATATTAGTGTATTCTGTGGTGTTTACCAGTTATAGGCCTTCAGGAGCAGTCCGGGCCAGAAGAGGTAGGAGGTAACAAAGGCGACTACAGGAAGAAGGAGAACCCCTCCTGTTAACATTAAGGTTTTAGCCACACTGAGCTCCATCGCTGATGCAGAGACCTTGAGAAATAAAAAGAAAAATATGGTAACTTTATTCTTCTCCTCTCAGCAGGCTCGGATTGGTCCGAGTGGGCCCGTCCTAATTTCAGCGTGCGAGGGTCGGCCCTCCTTAAATCATACCGGCCCCAACACTTACTCTCCTGCTGAAAAACACCTACCTGGGACATTAAATAACTCAAGGAGCTCAAAGTAATCCAATGTTAACTCCCAAAATGATGCATGCAGTGTATATATAGCCCTTCCTTGTCATGCTCATCCTTGTGACGGTTGGCATATGGTGTAATTTTCTATGACTTCAAACTGTAAAATCCTTGCAAAAAACAAAATTATAATAAAACTAAAATGCTTTCTTTAAACCAAAGTACTATGTTCCTCTTATATTTGCAGAGTTTTTGTTTGAATGTGTTGCAAAAATATGTTGCGTTGCATGATGGGGTTTTGCATCTAAAGGCCGATGTTTCCCATCTTACGTGCATTGTTGCCAGGTTGGGATGTTTCCCAATCTGGCAGTTTAGGATGGCCGTCTATGGGTAAAAAAAAACATTTTCTTTAGATTTATGGGCTAAGAGATCCATAGATTTTGGTTCAAATTGGGCAAGATTTCATATTGAGGCGGTTTATGACAATTTTTTGGGCTGGAAAACATAGGTCAGTGATGGCGCTGTATGTGTGAGTGGGTGTATGGCTGGCTTTGTGCAAGTGTAGATGTTACACAGCAGCACTCACTGTTACGTCCGTGTTAATAACCAAAGCCAGTAAAATCGCATTATAGAAGTCTTGCTGATGGCTGTCGTGTGATGCTTGAAGGTGGATGGGTTAATTCGCAATGCGTATTCTTATTGTGTTTCACATTTGAGACGCAAGCGTTCAATGGAAAAAATCGAAATGTAGAAAAGTCATTTTTTCTTAAAATAAGAGCATTTGTTATTGGATTAAGGAGATAAAAGAGACATATTGCCAGTGGAACAAGACAATTTACACTTAAAATAAGAAAACACAATTGCATTGTCTTATTTCAAGTGCATATTATCTAATTATCTTATT